GTGACACTTCATAGAATTGGTGGTGTCTATATTTCCTCTTCTTCAACCTGGATGTATTTTTGTAAATGCTTAGGTTATTTAAAGTATAGCACACGTGATGCTGTGCTATTCAGGAGTTCTTCAGAGAAACAGAATCAATAAAAGATTATCTATCTATATATCTAAAGAGATGCATTTTAAGTATTAGCTCACATGATCATGGGAGCTGAGAAGTCCCACAATCTGCCATCTGCAAGCTAGAGACCCAGGAAGGCAGCTGGTATAGATTAAAGGCCTGAGGGCAAAGAGCTAGTTACTGGTGTAGATTCCAGTCTGGGTTAGAAGGCCTAAGAATCGGGTGCACTGAGGGCAAGAGAAGATCCCACCTCAAGCAGACAGGCAGAGAGAGTAAATCCTCCCTTCTTCCTCTACCTTTTTGGAAGGCAGCTTTGCTCAATGCCTCCCCTTCCTCCACCTTTCTTTTGTATTTGGGTCCTAAGTGGACTGGACAAGTACTACTACTACCAACAACACATTGAGGAGGGCAGTCTGCTTTACTCCATGTACTGATTCCAATGCTAATCTCTTCCAGAAACACCCAGAAATAATGTGAAACAAATATGTATGCATACTGTGCTCCAGTCCTGCTGATACATAAAATTAACCCTCAGAGACACATGTGATGGTCTTGTTCCTGGGACCTCAGCTGCCATGCTAACAGTCCAACTGCCTTGAGGTCACTAAGCTATGTAAAAGCACCAATTAGCCTACGGGGTGGGGGGGGGAACCACATAAAGAAACCCCGAGACTACACAAAGAAGAAAAGGTGACTGGCCAGGACCCAGTTGCTCCAGCCCCTCTTGCTGTCCAAGCTCCAGATCCATTTCCTGAAACCAAAAGCAACGACCTGAGAGACCTCTATCCAGAACTGCCCAGCAGAACCCTTCCTGAAATCCTGACCCACTGAAATTGAGAGGTTATAAATCAAACGATTGTTCTTGTTTAAAGCCACCAAGTTTGGGATTGAGTGGTCCCATAACAATAGTAACCACAATACTCGTTCACCTTATTTTACTGTTTAATTTCCCATTTGTTCAATTTCCCATGTCATTGTTACTGTTTCCTTCTACATTCTACAACTGAATTGCAAAATCCCTTGCATAAGATTTTCTTTTTTTTAA